TTTTATGGTAAAGATAAAAAATCTATAAATAACGACAATTATTCTTTTAAATAGAAAATTTAAAAGAGATTTTAAAGAATATTTAAAGTAAATAATTAATGTTTAAGGGAATTTTGTTGACATGAAGGTCAGCTTATTGGGATAAACACATGTTCTCATACAGTAGTAATGAAGTTTTAATTTGGTTTTATAACAATATCTAGAAGTGTTATAGACTGCTTTTACTACATAATTTATATTTATTTATTCATTTATTATTATTAAAATAATATTAAGGAAAAAATTGTAATAACTATAATTAAAGTGCTATACGTTATAGTTTTAATTATGTATTATGTATATACATATATAAATGTATATTGTTAATATATAGTATCAAAGAAAAGCCTTCAGGGTCTAAGGCTGACAAAAGCAATAAATCACTACCGTATCGTAATTTACCGTTGTTTTAGTTATTTCAATTATAAATCTTATATTAATGGGATAAGGTTGAACTTTGATTAACATTTTCTCATCGGACCTGTGATGAAAAACCGCTCGTACCTGGTACAAAGGGATATAAATCTCGGTAGTCCTATTTTATCACAATAAGAAAATAATTTTTTGATGTCATAAATGTGATAGCATTTGTTCACATCTTATAATACATTTTTGTGTTTTAATATTTATTAAAGATAAGATTTTTTTAATGAACAACGAGGGTATGATTTATTAAAATTAAAATAAAAATCTAGTATGTCTTTAAGGTAAAAGATTATATCAGAAATAAATAGGTATACTCTAGACGAAGCCACTGGAATGTTACCTGTATTTGAACTTACTCGTTAAAGTACCTTTTACAGTTGAGTTTTGTTACATGAGTGTGAGAGCCGGAAGCCTTTTATAGCTCCCTTCTTTCCTAATAGATCTTAAGAAAGCATGACCACTTTAATACAGACGTAAAGATAAAATATTTTAAATATATATAGTATTTTGATATTAACAAACATGACCTCCCTTAATCGGATATAATAGTAAATAGATTAAGCTTATTAAAATAAGCTTTCCTACTAATACATAGGATTTATTAATTTTAACTCGTAGCCCTAAAAAAGTAACATAAGTCTTTTTAATTAATATTAATTATAGGGTTAATGTTTATAAATATTGACGTTTAAGTACGAATAGAATGTTCTAGAAAACATTTCCATCAACTTCGAAGCCTCGACACCTTTTGTTTTAACCTCGCAACAAAGACTTCATCATTGTCCTAATTGCTAAAGTTTTGTATAAGAGTCAACTTTAATATATTAAAATGATACTGTTATATAACGCTCTTTTATCAGCAATTCCTCATTATGTCTTTTGATGTTGAACATGAAATACGTAATTTTCTTAACCTTCCTTGTCTTCTCGAATACTTTTGATAGACTTTTACGTGGCTTTGGATTCATTCTTATATGATTTTAATAAAAGGAATTATCTAAGTTGTATAAAAAGTATTAAATAAAAAAATAAGATAATTCTAGGACGTACAAGAAATAAAAATTGAATTATTTTTCTTTAATATTCAATGTTATCACACTCATTGGACGTATAAAAAAAAATTATAAATAATTTTATAATATATTTGGTTACTGAAAACAGTCTTTTATTGTACTCTCATTACTAATGTTTCAAGTACATAGATAATGTATGTGATTTTGCGATAATACCTTTAATAGCGTTTATTTTCTCTGTAAATTATCTTTGTTATGTTTGTAAATATTAATGTTTTATAAAATGTAACTGTGGAATTCTTTGACGAAACAATATACCTATGAAAATATGAATATTACAGATTTTTTTTATTACTCAAGGAAAGTCTCCATTCTACTTTGTCGTTAATCTGAAGAACCTGAGTAAAAATCTGAATAATTGAGACAATTTTGTAGTTGAATTTTTAAATCGTATCCTTCTACCATATGTTTAAGCTTGATATGACTTAAAGATTTAAAAAAAAAATATTTTCTCTTAATAGCAAATGTAAAACTTATTAAATTTATCACATCAATATGGCTAATAAAAGTGGTTCGACACTCTTACAATTATTTTATCATTATTAACGCACGTAAGATATATTATTAAATACTAGGTACTTAATTTAAAACAAAATATAAAATCTATTAAAGACAATCAACAAGAACAAAAAAAAAGCAAATAGGAACAACGAAAAGCAATTTAAATTATCCAGATTTAAATCAATTACGTTTTTGCTGTGTACACACAAAAAAAATATCTCTGAGACAATTGTAAGTAATTACTGACCTCGAGTTAATAATGTAATTTGTTTTCACAACTATGAAGCGTATCCAATTAATAAAGGAAACTAAAATAAATAAATTGCTTAGTAATATTATTATAATGAAACATCGTGTATTTTCAGAAATATATTCAACTCAATGCTTTACTTTCACTGTATATAATATTCTGTCATTAAAACACTAATAGCTACATGTGTTTAATAATATGTTTAGTTGAAATTATAGGGTAACTCGTATAAAATAATAGATATTGATTAATGAGTTTTAAATATTGGTTTAAAATACTATCGATCAACCGGAGAATATAAATGATATGTAAAATTTTTCAAGGACATGAATATGTTTAGTTTCCAAGCTTCAAAACGAAGCCTCTTTCGTTTAAAATACTCACAACTGATTATACTCTGAAGTCTGTCATTGCAAGCTAACTTTGTAAGTGAAAACCTTTTGTTTATGAATACAACTGATTTTCTATGTATTGATTCTTTAATGTTCTGTCAATAAACAAAGGTATGCAAATCAAATTTACTAGAAATTATCTATATATATATACTTTGTTCACGTTTGTTTTCTAAAATTAAATATTAACCTGATGATAAAAAGTTCATCAGGTCTGTTATAAAGTGTTATAAATATAAAAGTAATTTGGTAGCTCATATGAATAAATGATTATGACTCTTAACTATGAATCTTTTACTACAAATCTTTTAATACGATATGAATACTACTCATATACAAGAATACTAACACTGTTTTCTTTATTTTATTCATCAGCAATTTAATTCATCAGTTGGTAATTCTGAACACATTTTCCAAGTCTTTTATGAAAGGTCTTTATTCAAATATAATAATGCCGAAATCTTTACAAATCTGTTTTGTGGTACAAAATTATTCATACCAAAAAAAATTATAAATAAGTTTATTAAGATATAACAATAATATAAAAAAGTACTTCGGGGTTGGTTTGAAGTTATTTTAAGGTTCGCAGCAAATTTTTTTTGGTTATTAAATGTTATATAGAGGTTTTAAATGGTTTCTTATATTGTTTTGATAATATAATTGATCTGTGGTAGTAGATGGATATGTGTCACGATCGCTTGACATGGTCTCTTATACAAAGCTAACATGAACCTTTTACGTAATATGTTTATACACGAACTATGTGTGTGAATTCAGTTTATTGCTATGGTGTTTTAGCGATCAATATCACGAGTGTCCATTGTTGCAATAAGATTTTTATGTTCAAAACTACGAGACAATAGAGTCGTTGAAATCAAACTCGGAACACATTAAAATAACATGTGTGATATAATGTTATATAACATCGCGTCTTTTAATTTAATCTTCTTAAATGAAGTGAATTACTATACAGCTGATATGCCAAAAGCTACAACTCACTGTTGTAAGCAAGAAATATATACAATTGTTATGGAAATCTAAGTTTTTTTTCAGGTACTGGAGTAATATTTTAATAATACAGTGAGTGAAATTTAAATTTAAAAGTATCAAATCTAAATTTATTTATGGCATTATATAACTATAAAAACATTTCACGGTATGTGGTCATGTGAAGAATAATATAGATATTGAATTATTACAGTGACCTCTGCTATTATGAGAGAAATATAAAAGAAAATAATGAATTGTTGATAAAGCGAAACAAAATACGTCTAACCTTTAAGCGTTTTGTCCCGGATCTAAGATCACTCTGTAATTATTTCTAGCGTAACTCTATACTATTATTGTGATAGTTGATATTTTTCTAATATTACTAAAGAAAAATATATAAAGATATCTTCGTCAGTGGATGTTCTACTAATTAAAGCTATTTTAAATTTATCCACATATTTTGTTTTAGTCTAACACTTGTATCAATCCGGATAGAAAAAGAAAACAAAAAATCTTCTAATATTAATAACTTCAATATTATTTTGATTACTCCAATTAAACATTTATTTTTATTATACACATCTATATATTTTTTATAAAAGAAAGTATCGGGGTGAAAGCTTTTTTATTAATTATATTATTAGCATAATTTGAATATACATAACTAAATTGTAAATGAAAACCATACTTTAATTTTAACAAAATTCTGTAGTATAAAACCTGTTACATATATCAATTACTCGTTAAAACAATAAGGATAATGTTGTTGTTTCAAATATTTACGTTAATTAGAAGTTTTACATCATAAATTGTCCGAGTCACGGAAGTCTGTGTGAGCAGATCAAAACAGCTGTTTCCTGGTAGCTCTCTAACTGTGTGATATATCGGTTAAAATATATTTGTTTAGCTTTGAACAACTGCATAAGAGCGATAACTAAAAACGTTTCTATACATTAGAAATATAAATAGCATAATTTTGTTAACAATAAATTTAAAATTTTGATTTGTAGTAACTGCATAAGAAAAAGAAAGCGTTTAAACATTTATTTCCTGACCTACTACTAATTAATTATGACGTCTGTAGCCTGACGTCATTATCTTGACACTCAAATAAGTCGGAACGTAATGGAACCCCTAGTTCCTACAACATTGAAGCATGAATGTACAAGGCAGGTAAAAGAAAATAAACTTTATTGCTTCGCTTTTACGTTTGTTTTGAATTAAATATACATTCTCGATATTAAATCTGTTTACGTTCGTCGCGACTCGAGCGCAGTCCACATGTTCACTAGTTCAAGAACACACGCGTTTTCGTAATAAGTGATAGTGATGGCACCAATTAATTTAATGGATCTGTCTTCGGATAGAATAAAGGAGTTTCTGGATTCGTTCGACCACGTGTTCTCAGACTGCGACGGTGAGTCACATCACATTTATAAATCAATATCGTTGGTTAGAAGTAGCTATACCTTATAGCCTTACAGTTAAAATACATACTTTTGTTTCGTTTTATTATCGTTTTAATATTATATTACATAAGCTTAGCAAGCATAGTTTAATTAATGATATTTTCGACAAAAGTAAGATTAGATTAGATGACCATGAACTATATATTTAAATATATGTATGTTTACGTATATTTGGCTATATATCTTTAAATTTAGGTTAGACTTACATATATACATACTATATTTGTAATCCAATACAAATGATTGAGGAACACATATTATTTTATTTATTTGTAATTAAATTTTATAACTATTGCATATCAATTGATAATTATCCTTGATTGTTATTATCATTATTGTTTTAATAAAACATAAATTATTTTATGATGGAAAATCCTATTGCAAAGAAACTATTGGTTTAAGCTATTAATAGTCAGTTTTTAATAGAAGACCTTCAATACCTCCGAAGATTCATTCCTATAAAGCATGTGATTAGATAACAAACGTCATAAAAATCAAATATAATCTTAAGAAAACAAACGATATTTATACGAGAATATAATTAAATATACAAAATTTCAAAAAAAGTAATTTAAAAATGCACACTAAGTTAATGTCTTATATGTATAAAAATATAGGGAAATGAAACTGCACTGACACGTTATCTGATGTAATTGCATCGGATGACACATAATAAAAGTTGGAAACTGTATCAAGCGATAAGCAGTTTGAAACTCATATGGGGAATGAACGAGGAGAATTACGCCATAGTTAACTTAGTCATAGCGCGATATTGCAATGTTATTAAATTTCGAAAGGCTCAACATTTTCCTATCATTCCTATGCTATTTTTAATGCAAATATGTATTTCTTTATTCATAATTGTGTAGAAGGTGTTATAATTGTATTTAAAATTATTAACAAAATTATTATAAGGTTTATAATTATTACTTTAAGTAACGTTTGTTAATTGTAAATACTGCTATGTCGCTTGCTATCAACGAATCAGTGCATTTAGTATAAAATTTTGCCACATTTTGAGTAGTTTTTTTACATATTATGACGCATCATAACTCTCGCTAAGAAACTGTTTCAGAATGATGAGGAAATCATGATTTATGTACTGAAATATAAACAAAACGCTTTTTTTAACTTCATATATGATTTGCTATTGATCTACTACAAGAGATCAGATTCCATTCAAAATTATGTCAACTTTTTCAAGAGCTAAGACAATAAAATGCTTTGACAATATCATGCCATTATCATAATTCGCAGTATAAATGCTCTTAAAAAAATTGGTAGCATCTGTGTATACTCGTTAAAATAATTGTGTTTTTATAAGCAATGCAATAAGATATTTATTACAGGAGTCATATGGACTAAAACTCCGTTGCCAGGGGTCGGAAGCTTTTTTGATCTCATGAAAAGACACGGCAAGACTGTACACTTCGTATCAAATAACAGTTTACGAACCAAAGAAAACTATGAGTCCATGTTCCAAGCTGCTGGCATTCAAAACGGCTTTGTAAGTTCTCTGAATAATATATTGAGATTGAATGAAGATAGATGTCCTTCTATAGTGGTCAAAGGTTCGATTTCTTTCAGGAACCAATATAGTAGCCTTACTAAGCTTAATTTATCACTGATAAACTGTTGTTGATTAGTGAGACTGAAATAAACAACTAGCTATTTTCATTCTGTTAGTAATTTTCATGTTGCATTAAAAAACATCGTATATCACATCACTGAGCTGAAAGAATATCTGCTTTGATTTTTGACATAAAAGATTCAAAATTAAGTTGTAAAAATGTTGATATAAAAGATTAAATAACATTAGGAGACTTAATTATGATTTTCAGTACTTGAAGCCACAATATTACTTAATTTTATTTTTATATGCGCAGCTCAAGCCACTCATATTCAGTAAAATCATGTGTCTTCACGTTTTGTTATTTAGAAAGAAAATCCAAGATTCAAAATGAGATGACATTAACAATCTGGCCCTACCAATATCATAAATAGCAAAATTTTTGGGATAAATACATATATGCATGGATTTGAGAATGTTTGTTGCTCTTTATCAACCGATTTTGATGAAACTTTATAGGAATTCAACTTAGATATCAAAATAAGATACAGTTTATAGTTGACCCTCTAATTCTATGTAGTAGCCTCAGAAACAAGTGATAAAAATAGTATTGAGAATGAAGTTACGTGACACATATTTACTGCAGGGCATACCAAATTATTATTTTTTGAGCCTAATTGTCGTTCTCCGAGCCTATTGCTTACGTTAACAAGGACGATGTCACTAGCGGAAACTAGTTTAATTATATTTTGCTATAAATCGCGGATTTGGATGTACAAAACCATGAATATGTTAAACCATTTGAGAGTTAGCCGTGTAAAAAAATGTGTTTTAAAATAAAGTGAGCATATCCATTTTACCAAAAAGCAAAAACTTCATGTGTTTAAAAAATAAATAATTCCCTTTATTAATATATTAATGACATCCCTACACATGGTACTGTCAAATTACAATTATATTGGTGACCTACTTATACTTTGAGTTAACGAAATTGTCAATGAATATGTCATCTTATTTATTCCCACAAATAGGCTTAGACTTTATTGATTGCTCAAAACGTAAAGCTTTGAAGATTTCTTTCTCAAAAGAAAGAACAATGTTATATAAGAAATATTAATATTATTTGCCTCTTTGTGGAACTGATTGGCAATTTGATCACATGAATTCTCCGTTGGAAGGAATATATCAGATATATTGTTACATTGTTGACGAAATACATAATATTCTGTTTGGTATTGTATTTTTAGTATATTTTCAGCTATAGTATACAGTTCGATATTACAAGTCCTATTCAATATTGTAATAAATTATCACGAACTGTCTGGCGAAAATTAATGAAACAAACAAATTACACTGTTTAATTGGTTTTATTTGAGAAATTAATTAGTTAGAATTAAATCATAACTTGGTTATTACATTCTTGTGTTAAATAAAATTACTTCAATATTTGTTTGTGTTTAAAATAAATTAAAATTTACAGGAAAACCTCACGGTTCCATCAATAGCTATAGCGGAATATCTAAAGTGTATCAAATTGGAAAAATCTGTATATTGCGTTACGTGTCCTGAAACTATAGCTGTGCTGACGTCATACGGGTTCAAATGCGAACAAGGGGTGAATGAACTTTAAATTTATATCATATATCACATTTCAAATGCATAGCTTAAGGTGATTGGAATAGTAAGTATAAAATTAATTATTTATTTAAACTTTCTTACAGCCAGATGTCGGTACATACTACTACACTGATTATATACAATATTTAGCCGACGATGTAGAAATAGGTGCTGTTGTATTCGACAGTGACTTCAAAATTAATCTGCCAAAGATGTACAGAGCTCTAACGTATCTTCAACGACCTGAAGTGCACTATATTAACGGTGCAACTGATAAATACGTACCTTTGGTACCGGGATCTCTGGCTCTGGGTAACGTAAAATGGATTCTATGCTATAACTTATACGGTTGTTATTATCTTTGATACCAGAATTTAATATGCACATATGAATATCGAGTGAAATTAAGTTGAATGATGAAAGGTTCTTATTGATATCTGCAATGCAATGAATATCTGTACATAAGAAATATTTGTATGAAAAAAATTCGTTTAAAAATTATAAATCATTTAGGTCAAATAAAAATAGGTGTTTTTATATTTATTTTTAAACCATAAGTTTAATTTATATAATAAATGGTGAGCCTTGTTCATAATGTTGCGTATAAAATAAATTACCCACATTAACGAAATTGCTTTATAAATATTTTAGGCGTCGGTGCATTTGCTGATATGGTGAGTGAGGAATCTAAACGGGAGCCTGTTTTACTTGGAAAGCCGGGGAAAATGTTTGGTCAGTTTGCAATGCAACGGGCTGGCGTAACCGATCCCAGTCGTGTGCTATTTATAGGAGATATGTAAGTATTTGAAGTCTAAATTGTACATTTAAAAAATCTTTATCAAAGAAATCTTCTGACACTCCCTCTTGCGCCACCCAGACAAGAGGGGTCATTTGATGATTTTCCCCTTAAATTAAAAAAGGTCCTAATTTACTTAAGCTATAGTTTCTAAAAATAAATTTTTCCCTTTCAAACTTTAATCTCTTTGTTGCAGGATTGAACAGGACGTGGGCTTAGGTTGTGCTACGGGATTTAAAACCCTTTTAGTTCTAACAAATAAAACAAAAGAAGAAATGCTGAACCACAAAACATTAAAACCAGATTATTACGCAGACTCCTTAGGAAGCTTAATCCCAGTACTTAATAGCAAATGACTTTTAAGTTCCTATGACTTCAAACCTAGAAATTTACCTCAATGACAAAGTATAATAGAACTAATATTATTTTTAAGTTACTCCATTGTAAAATCATCACTCAATACTTTCTAAGTTATTGTTTATTGATTATATTATTTTAAGTTAATTTGTCATACTACATAGTATATATTATTTTTTACATAATAAAATAATTTACACTCAAATTTTTTTTATAGATATTTGTATTGACAAAAATATTTTTTGATATTTCATTGTAGCACAAACACACTTTGCCCATTAAGCTTACTTAATTACGATCATGTTGTTTTAATAATATAATGAATATAGAACAAAATAAATTCTGGTACATATAAACCATTCTTGAATTAGTAAATGACATACACAGTCTAGTTTGTGTCCATTGTGGTTTTGTTTTGTAAATATAAACTTATTTATTTTGTACATTTCGAAAACTGGATAAAGTTTTTGTAACCGATGATTACTATGATGTATTCATATTATTGTAGACCTTAATGAAAGCCACAGGAAATGTGAAAATTCAAGTAACAGGAGCAATCTTTTAGGAACGAAGAAAGACAGCGATTTTTTCAAAAATATATTTAATTCTGTCCCTTCACTTATTTTTGACAATTACATTTTAAGTTTAACAAAGACTCAACTTTAGAATACAAGAATTCCAATAATTTTATAGGCTTATATCAGACTTAAATTGATGACTGATTCATCTTAATCAATTTATCTATTACAAGTTTCAAAGAAAAGAAATTACATCACACAATTACTGTGTAACACGAAAATATAAAGGTTATTGTGTTGTGTCATCCAACGCAAAAAAATATACAGGTTATTTAGTTCATAATTCTTGCGTCATTTTTATAAAATAAACCAAAGATCAGAAATGACGTCAAAGGTCACGTATGAGTAGCGGAACACGTCGCAGAAAGTCGCAGGGAGTTAACCACGCAACTTCTATGGAAAATTTTTGATCATACGGGAAAGGATAATGTCTCCTTAAAAAAGGTTAATACTTTTACACCATAAAAAAATGGGTTATTAGTAAAGACTAAATAAATATTCAGCAAGAAATTTATAAACACCCAAATGTAGAAGAAGTCTTACTGCGAATTTATTTGACAAATATATGACAGACCTAGGCAACGGTCTACTGATGACAGATTTTCTATGATTTTAAAATTAATATTCACTTTAAACTCGAAATTAATTTGTATTTCAATCAACCCTACTAATCAGTTATTATATTTTTGTGAAACTTATGAACTTCATGTTACGATCCCTCTCCCAATCTTCAGTTACACAATTCAACCACATCTTTTTGGATTTGGTTCCCTCCTCACATACATTCTCATAGCTATTTTTATACATAACTTTCACCCCTCTTAATAAGTTATTCGTACCAGGTAAGTCTTTTACTTCTGGACTGATGTTTCTTATAAATTTCGTCTCATATATTCATTCTTGTATTCTACCCTATGCACTTTTGTAAATCTACACATCCATTTCAATATTCAGATCTCTAATTAACCTAAATTGGTTTTGTGATACTTTCAAGTTTAAGTTGTCTCCCAAAGACTTTTTTCCATATTTTCAGGTTTGTTACATGTGTGTTATTACAATATGTGAAAGGAGTTACTGACAGAATAGGCAACATCTTGAATAAGGTATCAATTAAGACTATTTACAAACCACATAAGAAGTGAGCCAATTCTTGAGACCAATCAAGAGTAGCATTCCTCTACAACAAGCGGGTGTATAAAAACTCGATTGTGACTGTGGCTTGTCATACATTGGACATACAAAGAGGGTTAAAGAACACATTTCGGACGTCAAAAAAAGTCAGCAGTGTATGAACATATATTGGACAAACCAGGCCACTACATTCGGTTTGATAAACTAAATATCCTCGCTCGTGAAGACAGGTATACCAAGGTTAATCCGCAAGGCTATTGATCCCCTTCTTAAAAATATAAATTCCCATGTCCGTGACCACACCTCAGGACCTCGGTACACCGTGAGCGCATTCTGCCGGCATCCAGAGCGGTACGCCAGAAAGATAAGAAATCGGTGACGGTAGGTGATAAAATAACAAGACCAACTGACAGACATTCACATGTCGTCGGCCCGTGATCACGGTGGCTGTAAAGTAGCCGAAACGTCGAGAGTATGAACTTTTTATCAAAACTAAAGTCGCGTATGTAGTATATCCGCAAATTATTAGTTTCTTTTCTGTTATAAAATGTATTATTATATAATTATTTATTTTAGCTCAATGTCACTTTTACACGTCCAGGAACTTATTATTATTTAAGAGCCAGTAATTGTATAGATCTTATTGCCAAATGCATGTTGGTTGTTTACAAACCTAACTTCCGGAAATTATATATGCCAGTGATTTGCAGGGTTACTTATCTAAGATAAACTGGATTAAGTTCATGGAGAATATGATTTTTAGTGTCGATATATTACTTACCAAAACGTGGAAAAATCCCTATAACATTAATTTACCTAAAACAAAAAAGAGACTTTTTATGTTTTAGAAAAACTAGTTTATGAACAGTTGAGTCTGTTCTTTAACGATTATTTTCTATCAAATTCTTTCCCGTCACGTGTTTGCCCTGATCATGGCTACGTAAGCATACGTTACAATGTTAAGTGCTCTTCTTTAGCCATGCGCTTTTTTACCGTTGATATCTTTACTTGCTTGTTACGTTTCATTAATATTTCTCAATAGGTGACAGACAAATCTTTGTCTTCAAGCGCGATACCCTGTCAAGGGTTCCTTGAGGTGTTGCGTTATCTCCAACACTGTTTGATAAATTTATTGATTCCGTTACTCTGTATATTTCTCCTATCTATCAAATTTACGCAGAAAATGTGTGAATATAATGGCATTCCGTTATTAAAAATAAGACATCTTGCTTGTTACTTGTCAATAATGACCTTATTTTATTTTAATCAGTGGTGGCCTAGTGGTTAAAAGGTTCGCCTCTCATTGCCGAGGGCGCGGGTTCGATCCTGGCCCGGGCAAGTACCAATGTGATTTTACCGAGTCATATGTACTTTCTAAGATTATTTAGACATCACTGATTAGTGCTGATTCCCAAAAGAGGGATGATGTCAGGCAGGCGGCCGGTCGTAAAACAATTAGCCACAACTATTCAAAACATGTAAGGCAGACCCTGGCTAAAGCTGGGAAATTGCCAGGTAGAAGAAGAAGAATGACCTTATTTTCAGTAAAAAATGGAGTGATCGATTTGAACTAGAAAACAATTTCTTAACATTTCAGGCTATAGTTTTTAACAGTAGTTACATGGTAACTAAAATTAATTGGGCACATTTTTCTACACTCATTATTTATAAACGGCTTATTATTAAAATACCCAGAAGATTTTACCCAAAATTGTAGCAACAACCTTCTTCGACACATCTTCTATATATATAAAAATGTATTGCTGTTCCTTAGTCTCGCTAAAACTCGTGAACGGCTAAACCGTTTTGGCTAATTATAGTCTTTAAATACTCCTGGAAGTCCAGGGAAGGTTTAAAAGTTGAAAAAAATTGGAATAATTTCCGGGAAAACGCTAAAAACAGCCCTTTTCTATTTCCCATACAAACGATTTTTTGACATTAGACTTGACAACTAACTAATATGTCAATCATTCTGTTCGATTGAAACAGGAAAAATTTAATAAATACCAATACCGAGTTATTGAAGACGGAATAGAGTTTGCCCGGTCAGCTATACCTACCTATATTACTAATGACGAAATTAACGCGGACGAAGTCGCGGGCAAAAACTAGTATATTATATTAATGTGTATATGTTTATTATAATACCACTAATATTAACGTATTTCACGACAATATTTTTTTAACTTAGATCGATTGGTAGAATTTTAACTGTTTTTTTATGGTTTCACTTTATCTGTTAAATTATTTCTTTATTGTATAGTCTTCAACTAAGTGTTAAATAAATATTAGAACGTTATCTGTATTTGTGGAACATATAAGATATAATGAATTCCTGTCTTATTATAAATTCCAAACTGTAAACAGAACTCTAAGTGTAGGTAAACTAATAAAATACTTGCACAATAATCATAATCTTCTTTATCAGAAATCTTGGTTCAACTCAACCAGGGACCATCTGTTCATTCCATATATATATATATATATATATATATATATATATATATATATATATATATATATATATAGAATGAACTTTTATATATATATATATATATAAAATAAAAGTTATGTTCTAAATTTACCTTGTTGTATTGTATTTAATTTAAAACTATATATATTACAATTACATTTCTAAAGAATCAAAACAGACTTTTTGTAAATAAATAATTACAATATAAGTAACCTAAACGTATTTTTTTGTTTTGATGCGGACTTTTTAATTTATTTTAATTAAAGACCTTTATATCATTTGAAGATGTAATTTCACACCCTGAAATGCCACTTTCAAATAAATTAAGGCGTGTTTAATTGTAATTTAAACTAAATTAAATTTAATTCTATTGGCTTGGAATGTATTGAGAGTCTGCCTTGTCTCTGTATTGAAAGCAAAGGAACACAGTTTTACATACAAGTACGTAACTAATATCACTAATGGTCGAGGTTTTTTAAGATTTCACTATTTTTCTATTTTAATTGTGCTTATTTTTTCGCTCTAAAAGTATCTAATTGCAAGTGGCAGCGGTATATTATATCGTTGTATGTATAGAGGACCTTCATAATACACGCACTTGAATTTATTTGCTGGGAAGTGGATGAAGTCCTTTAAAATGTAAATTTGATGAGCGAGGGTTACCTATCCACTATGTGGTCATGAAAGTGGGGAAAAACTGTCTATTTTATTTGACGAGCAACGGAGCGTTTTAGACCGGTTTTATTTTAAAGCCTTTTTGAGTCCATATTTACTTCGGAGTACGTTTTGGGTTATTTATCTACAGTTTATATAAAAC